AATGATCCTGTGCCGCCAGTCGCCATGAAACGTTGGTCGAGATGGTAGCAAGACTACCCACACCGTACGACTCTCAATGGAAACTATACCAAGATCGTTCAGCTTCGTTGTAAATCATTGTATATATTCTAAAGCTAACCCGGCACCGAAACAACTGCGGGGTTTGGACAATGGAAACTGGTTCAGAAAGTTTTTCATTATATTCTGTCATCAAATTGCCAAATCATCAAAACCTTCAACTGTTCTTCCGATTTTTACAGTCCAACTTCCTCTTAAACTGATTTCCATTATTTTACTTCAATTATTCTTCCTCCATAAAGTGATGACCCATCTGGGCACTTAAACCTCAGGTTCGTAGTGTTTTCCGTGCACAAGTGATACATTTTGATCATTTATTTTGACCGTAATTTGACTACCCGGGCATTTTGCACGATTTATAACGTAAATTACTTTTCTACAGTATGCATTAATCTGATCCTGAGACTGGACGGCCTTACTTTATATCTACGTCACCCTTTCGTCGCCTGTTCTCTCATCCCACCTCCATCAAATTCTTGTGAACCGTATTCTGCATTTTGGGATTCGGCTCTTAATTAACGACTGAACTTTGTCAGCATTACAAGGAAGCAAATTCACTTCAAATCAAACTCAAAACTTTGTCTAATAGAGTTAAATAAAAGAATCTTTGATTATTTCCTTACTTGGACACCCTGTCGTTTGTGTGAAAACCTCACAGACTTAATAATTCAACAAGGAATATTCTAATTAATATTCTAATAATGTAATTCTAATATTCTAATAATAATTCAAGGAATATCCTCTACTATACAGATGCTGCCCTACGTTTGCTCCATTTAACCTTCTTATATTGGCTGCAGTTATACGTTTTTTATACATGAGGTAGATTGGACATTATTCTCTATTTTCATTTAATTAGAGTTGAACCGAAATTTAAAGGTTAAATAATACACAGAGGAATGGCATCAAGTGCTACTCAGAACGAAGTGCAATTTCACGACAAAAAATCAGTGCTGGAATCAAGTGTTGCATCAAGAAACCTTTGAACATCACACGAGTCTTGATGTTACAAAAATATCAAATTTTAAATAACTAAAATTTTGATGTAAAAAGTGCATCATTAATGTATCTGTCAAAAGCTACGATGACACGTCTGGGCTGAACAATTATATACCTGACATCCATCACTTCTAAAAGTGACAGAAATAGGATGGAACAAGAGCGTTGAAATATAACAGTTGAAAAATAATATGCTTTAAAAATTACTTTTTAAAGACAACACTTCTAGAGAATTCAGTGTTCGCGATGTTACATATGTAGAATGAATAATTTTGTCATCATATATTAAAAAAGTAATTTTAAATTTTATTTAAAAAAAATAAGATAAATTTTTCAAAATTATTTATTCTGTCAATTGAATAAGGCATTGTCTCCAACTTAACGCAAGTGTGCAAATTTTCAGATCGATTGGACAGGTAGTAGTGTGTTAAATAATGATTATAAGATATGTAGCAGGCAAAATTAGTTTTTCAAAATTTTTTAATATTAGAAATAAAAATTTTCACATTTTTAAAATTATTTATTCTGTCAATTGATTAAAGCATTTTCTTCAACTTTATGCAAGTGTGCCAAATTTCAGGTCGATTGGACAGGTAGAAGTGTGTTAAATATCGATTATAAGATTTGTAGCAGAGAGACAGACAGACAAACAACAAGACGTGAAGTTAAAGAGAAATGTTGTAATAATAACAAGACATCAAGATGTCTTGGCTACCAGTTATTGTCAATATGTCAAGACATTCGTTATATCAATTTCTCCTCACCTAAGCAGCCTAATTTCACTAAGTGGACTAATTAACTTGATAATTTTGTCATTTCATAATAACATTTATATTGTCTGTTTCAAATAGTATCTGAAGATCTCAAAATAGTTAAAATTGACGGCGAATTCGTCTGCTGCAATTGGCAGCTTCAAGTCTCGAAATTCGGAAAAGTCATGTTTATGATTGCATATGAATTTATGCACAGAGTACGAAATATCAGCGAATTTATATGTGAGCCTCACAGCAAATTGGGATCTAGTCAATTTCAGACGATGGGAAGGGCTGAAACTGATTGGTTTTCTTATATCCTTCCCTAAAAGATGAGAGAGGAAGCTAGGTAATAGTTTGCGTCGGCCCTATAACTTGAGATTTTCAAGAAACATACGCGGAAAGGTTTCGTTGCATTTAAGAAAGCAGAGTGCCTCTGAACAAATGGACAAGGGTGAGTTCCCGTTCATAACTTTGCGTCTTGCCAAGCATTCTTTTATGCAACTCAAGACTTACAGCGCGATTATGTGCAGCCAATTTCATCTAAGTTGACAGAATTGTCACTGTATTGCATTGAAGAATCACGCGTTAACAGAAGTGATACCGTTCTTAGAAACTTGCACCTTCGCTGATGAAAGTACAACAGTACGGAAACTTGGTGAAACAATGGCTTTATGGAAACGGGGAATTGCTTGACTTCAACCGGGAATTGATTGACTTCTACGAGGAATTGATAGACTTCAACAGGGAATTGATTGCCTTCAACGGTGAATTGATTGACTTCAACAGTTAATTGATTGACTTCAACAGTGAATTGGTTGACTTTAACGGTGAATTTATTAACTTCAACGAGGAATTGATTGACTTCGACGGTGAATGGGTTAACTTGATTGATTAAGACGACACAATTACACAAATAGCAACTATAATAAAGTCTGGCCGCTGAAAACTGCGTAGCGATGTCTTTTCGATGAATGCAAAGGGCTTTTAATGAATTATTGCATGTTACCATGTACAAACTACTCATGTTTCTTGTCTTCGAACTCCTTTCAGCCTTGCTCGCTGAATTGGACTTCGCCTATGCGTTTGATGATGAAATTAGATCGCGTAAGTATACCTAATTTCATCTGCCATGTTCTGATCGTCCTATTAGGTTACTTTAATGAGGAAATCGAACCCCATTTTCTTTCTGTTGTTGATCGACGAGCCTTTCAGGATGACGGTGAGTTCTCCCGTGAATGAAACATCCTGCACAGAAAAAACATTACATACTTGACTAGAATAATAACTGTGCAGTGCTGATGTTCACAACTTTCATCTGAACCTTTATGTACCAACAGAAACTAATACTCATTGTAGCAACACGTCGTGTCAGTATATATTTAACACTGTTGGACGTAGACCATAAAACCTTATATTCTGTTCGCGACCTGTCATTCCACTGCCAGCGCTGCACTGTCGGATTACTGGTAAAATATCAACCTCCTGTCTCTCTGTAGCACCTCTCTGGAGTACCTCTCACAAGCACCTCTCCCAAGCACCTCTCACGAGCACCTCCTACACACATCTCTCACAAGCACCTCTCACAAGCACCTCTTATACACGCATCCCTCACAAGCACCTCTCTGGAGCACCTCTCACAAGCACCTCTTATACACGCATCCCTCACAAGCACCTCTCTGGAGCACCTCTCACAAGCACCTCTCACGAGCACCTCCTACACACATCTCTCACAAGGACTTCTCATGCGCACCTCTCACAAGCACCTCACACATGCCCTCCCTATAGCTAAAGTGTGAGTAACGGGAGATAATTGAAGTTCCGGTCGTCAGCATTTTTTCAATGGAAACAAGAACAAAACAATTGTTTATACAGGTCTTCATGTATTGTTGCGTATAGGAATAAGAATCTGAAATTTGTATATTTAAACATGTTTGGTTAAAAATAATGCCAGTTTTATTGAGGACTTCTTTTGAGTTTAATCTCTCAAGCTTTCTGATAAGAGGTACAGTAATGGGTTCAATGTGTCTTAAAATTTGTCCAAATGAAAGGTTCGATAAATCCTGCGACGCGTTTCGCTCATCACTGAGCATCTTCAGGCAACGAGGTCGAGCAGCTGAGTGGACGAGTTGCTTGTGGGTTGGCTGCAGAGAGGAGACTAATTGAGGTAGTGAACGAAGCTACGAGTAAGGTTCTTATACAGTCCGTTGTACACTTGTTCTAGTTGTGAAGTTTCAGAGTGCGTTCGGATCCAGTCGTTTGATTGTTGAGGTATGGCTTTTTCCGTTGAATTAGAATTGCTTCCAGTATTTGCAGTCTGTTGAAGTCTGGTTCGTGGCGAAGGATTTTTGTGTTTTGTACCAGTTCTTCCCGGGTTAATTTGGTGTTGTGGTTGTCCATAGCGTGCGTTTTGGGTCCTCCAGAAACTAAATGCATTGTGAGCCGTCTTGATAGGGTTGTAGTAGTCATGCCGATATACGAATTGTTGCGGAGCTCGCACTCCCCGCGGTTACACGTGTATTCGTATATGACATTTGTTTGTTTCAGGGCTGGTAGTTTCGGGGCTGTGTTGTTCTTTGTGATTAAACTGATAATAATATAATAATATAATAAACTAATAAGAATCTAGAAACAATGCATCACTTGGAGTCACGGACTCCACCAACAGACACAACGCATCACTTGGAGTCACGGACTCCACCAACAGACACAATGCATCACTTGGANGCTACAGAACTACACTATTACACTATTACTAACGCAGGATGATGGGTGCAGGAGCTATGCGCTCTACAGAACTACACTATTAACGCTCCTCCACAATTATGCACGCTACAGAAATACACTATTACACTATTACTAACGCAGGATGATGGGTGCAGGAGCTATGCGCTCTACAGAACTACACTATTAACGCTCCTCCACAATTATGCACGCTACAGAAATACACTATTACACTATTACTAACGCAGGATGATGGGTGCAGGAGCTATGCGCTCTACAGAACTACACTATTAACGCTCCTCCACAATTATGCACGCTACAGAAATACACTATTACACTATTACTAACGCAGTATGATGGGTGCAGGAGCTATGCGCTCTACAGAACTACACTATTAACGCTCCTCCACAGTTATGCACGCTACAGAACTACACTATTACACTATTACTAACGCAGGATGATGGGTGCAGGAGCTATGCGCTCTATAGGCTCTTGAACAATGAAGCCGCAAGGGTCCGCTGTCATGCAGTAATCGAAGTCCGTGGCAGCTTGTACGAACACAAACGCGATACCCTCTGTCTTTTCCACGGTAGATTTCCCTGTAGATTTGTATGTATTGTATGTATTATACAATATATATATATATATTGTATATTATATATTGTATAACTCAATATATTATATAATGTATATATATATATATATATATTGTCTGCATATATTGTATCACATGAATATTCTCATGGAGAGACAAATAATTGAATTTGTGGCTGAAATAAAATTCATGTTTCCTAAGCGTCATAGACGATAGAGCTCGATGTTATAATATTATTTCCAACAATAATTCAAGTGATGGTGTTATATACGCGAAAATGATTTCAAATAAAGTGAAAATCAGCCCAAACAAATTCCGTAATTATTTAATCATCAACGCTATATGAAAATAATATTTGATACACATACAATGCAAGTTCGATTGAAGATCCGTGAATGTAACTTATCAACAAAATTGTTGCTCGTTTTCCAAATGTTTTATGTCAAATTATGTTTTCCGTCTACGAAAAATTTTGCAAAGGGTTNATTGCAACACCTCACTCGCGTTGTGAGATGTTCAAATATTGCAACACCTCACTCGCGTTGTGAGATGTTCAAATATTGCAACACCTCACTCGCGCTTTGAGATGTTCAAATGGTTCATACTGCAACACCATGTCTCGCTGCACGCCGCTTGACAACTGATAATCGTACAGCAAATGCGAACATTCAGCGACGCTCACTGAGGTGGAGAAGTGAGCTTTCGTGACACAAACTTGAAGAAAATTGTGTGCATTACCTGGAGCTGGCGGTAATCTAAGATTTGATGAAGGATCTAAGTTTGGGTCCGGAAAGTCGTGTACGAAGTTGGTGCTAATTTTTATCTCCTGATATGCATGCAGAGCAATGATGTTCAGCTTCCTTGGATCGTCTGTAAAAAAGGACTGCATTAGTGACAGATTTTGGCAGAGGCTTGAATCTGCGCAGCCTCCGCAGGGCATCAACACGACATCGTGAGACTGTGTTTCCTCGTTGTCAACACAGCCACATCGTTATCATCCGGGTTTAGAGCCTACATCGCGGTTGACAGTGTGCGTAGATCCCGCGCGTACAATGAATTGCTATTCAAAAGTTTTACTTTGCTCAAAATTCAATACTTGCATGAAGCTTGAACAACAATATTGTAAGCGCGACGGTGACTTCCGAACTCTCTTACGCCTGCGCAAATCAGACAACCAAAATTTAACCGTGCAGGGAAGTGAAGTTGGAGTTTTGACACTTTATTGATAACAAAGGCACTGGTAGTTACTGATGAATATAGACTAAATACAATAACAAAATAACGAACTCAAAATAAACCCAGCGAATAGCTCATACTGAATCTATTGTTCTTTGTAGTGCTCTAATATTGATCTGTAAACAAAAGTAATAAACTTAACAATATGCGGCAATAATACTTCCCTCTAGTTGTTCCTAACAAAATTACAATTCATAAATATCACGACACATATTTAAATGTCACAATATGACCATTCACAGAAGATTCACCATCAGTGAAGTGCAAAGTGCTTCTGGACTGACAGAATGATATTAAGTGACGCGTATCGGATGATCAGGGTGAACAGACTTTTTCTCTCAATGAAAATGCTAGTAAAATCGAAAGACAAAAATATTAATTAAAAAAATAGTACAAATTTAACAGAGTAAATATAAGAAATATCTGTTTGAATGATCACAAAAAAAAATGACAAGGAAAATCGCGGTACAAAAATTAAGTGAGGCGCGGCTACAATATGATGAATGGTGCATAACAAATGAATGTTGCTGCAAAGGCGTATGGGCTGGCTTTAAAGCCAGCTTGGTTTAGGGTAATAGAGAATGGCGCTTTTCTTCACTTATTTCTTCCGTCCCGATATTGAACCCGGTAGGATCATGTTACATGTCATCAATGTATATGTGCTATAAACAATTATATACATTCCAGTTGTGTGTGATTACACAGGAACATAATAGCAATTCCTACACTTGAGTACTTACTCTATGAGAGGTTCTTATGCAAGGAACGTACAGTAAATGCAAAAGTCAAACGAGGTGAACTATAGAGTTGTGACGATCACCTATAGACATGACCTAGCGTTTACATTTTTACTAATGCTAAGTATTGTAATGTAGTTATTAACGCTAATCCTAGACGGCACACTTCACTGCAAACGTACCGACAAGTGGGTCGATGGGGCCAGACACTATGTACTCTTGTTTTAAATATGTTTTAGAGGGTAGCCACGACGCGAAACGACATCTACAAACGCTTGCTTTCAGCTGCGGATGCAGGATACATTGATCGCCATCAAACTTGAATCCTGCCGCATCTGCAACGAAGCCGAACAATTAAACGATGCAACATTGCTTAATCTCATTAAAAACGGATTTTCGAAGTCGTGATCTTATAGATTTAATAACTTAAAGAAAGTCTTCACCAAATCAGTGGTAGCAAATTAATACAATTTAGAAAATTTAAAGATAATTTAGACTGTACTACGTTCTTCTCGAGATTGGGAGCAAAACCAAGGAAGACAGCCCAGGACCGCCCACTTATAGGCAATACGATGATCTTAGAACTTATTTCAAGGAATTTATTGATGAAGGTAAGGACATTTTCAGAACAGAAGCGGTCAGCGTAACTTCCAATTTCTTGAACTGGAATGATCTTCAACCGGGAACTCTTGCGTGGTTCACGGAAATAGAACGGGAGAGAAGAAGGCAATCAATCAAACGCTAATCAAATAAATTGCCTAGACACTTTCGTCGATTAACGTCTTTGATTTGTTAAAAATTTCACGGCACGGTATTAATAATACGAAATTATCGGACAGATTCCATAAACCCCGATAAGTCAATTTTTAATTACTTTAAAACGCATAATCACTCATTTTACTCTGTCATTAGAGGGTGAGTGAATTGAGTTGTATTCTACAGTATAACTGGGACCGAATAAACACATAAATCATCACATAAAACTAAAGCGTCATGACCTTCAAGAGCAGCCTTTCTAGCACAGTCCGCGAAGTCCGTGGCAGCGATCATAACAGAGTAGCTTGGATCATCGGCATTAAGCGCATAGAAGAGGTCAGGTTCAGATTTAAAGGCTGAGAAGAGTTCGTATACCTGAAACATGAGTAGTTTGCATGATAACATGCAATCATTCATTATAAGCCTACTACATTCATCGAAAATGCATCGGTTTTGTAGTTTAATGTTTTTGAGTGTTTGCTAGTTTCCTTGTAGAACTTTCGGTATACGTACGATTTACATGACACACTCACGAATGACTTACGGTATACGGCAGTGCGAACACGAATGACTTACGGTATACGGCAGTGCGAACACGAATTACATGGTATACGGTAGTGCCAGCATGATTGACTCACGGTATGCGTTGGTACAAATAAAAATTCTGGAGCAACAAACCAACTCGCGGTTCAGCAAGTTATCAGAAAACTTGTGCGCGGTCACTTCTAGTCGCTCTCTGAATATTATTTAAAATTTTAGAATTTACCTAATTTGATTACATTGTCAATTGCAGGTAATGAAGTGTAAAAACACGTGAAAAATAATAAAGTTTGAAGGCATCATAGCTCATCATCGGGCCAACATCATCAGCTCACCACGACAACATCATCAGCTCACCACGACAACATCATCAGCTCACCACGACAACATCATCAGCTCACCACGGTAGCCCCAGCAGCGGATGGCAGCGCCAGGGTCCGGAATGCGCCCGATGTCGTCGGTGGCGCGGCGGACGCTGGCGCCGTGCAAGCCTCGTAGCCAGACGCGCCGGGCGGCGTGATGGGGACCAGCGTCGGGCGTTAGTGAGGGGAAGGTAAATTATCGCGGCATCTTTCAGGGTTACTTGATTAAATCTAATATAATTACCACATCAATTACCATAATTAACTGCCCATAACTACCTTAACTTTATTACCTAACCTTAATTACCACACCTTAATTACCACACCTTAATTACCGCACCTTAATTACCACACCTTAATTACCGCACCTTAATTACTACATCTCAGTTACTGCTCCTTATTACCACACCTTAATTACCACACCTTAACCAACACACCTTAATTACCACGCTTTTTAACCTATATCGCCTTAACCTATATCCCCTTAACTTATATCACCTTAACCTATATCCCCTTAACCTATTTCACCTTAACCTATATCACCTTAACCTATATCACCTTAACCTATATC